CAATACCCCTCTTTCCCCATTGTCTCTGGCTGTCCTCAGGGCAAGCATATCTTCTACAAATGTCAGATCTGCATGCCAACAGCTGCCATACCTTGTTCTAATGGTGCCCTACTGATTTTCAGCAGAAGTTTTTTGTCTGCAGGCCATCATCTTGTGATGATGACAATGCTGCAAGTCACGGGGTGAAAATGCAGCTCATTATTCCTCATGGGACTTATTCTTCATTTAATTAATTGTTATCACCATCATCATTGGCACCATCATCACCACCACCAGCAGCAGGGGTAGCAGGGGTAGCAGTGCTGTGTCTGAACTTGCTGCAGGTGGATTCTCCTTGCAATTACACTTGCTCATTGCTTAGACTTCATCTCTCACTCCTAACACTTTCCCTGAATTCTTTAGCACTTTTTCTTTCCCAGTTCTTTTTATTCTCCTTTCTTCCATGCCCAGAGGTCTCATTTAGTGCCTTTTTGCTGGCATAGACTCATTGTACATCATACTGGGTTTCATGAGGGCATTTTGTACATCTATATAATGTACTTTTTTTATCCTATCTCCCTCATACCTGCTTATTCCCCCTTATAACCTTTTCAACTTTAAATTTCTTTTAATTCAGCTACCAAAACTTGCAAACCAGTCTTTAGATTATAATCCTGTTTTCTAATTTCTTTGCCCTTCTGCTAAGCTTTCTAGATTTCAAAGTAAGATCCTACACATTGCTCCTAAATTATTCAGTTTTCATTGTTTTAAAAGATTTTGTTTTCTGCTTTCTAACTTATAGTATCATGTTGCTTATACTTTTATCTTGGATGCTATTGAATCAACTCCCTCCTCATTTAATATGTTGTGTTTACTTTGGCATTCACTTTTCCCTGTCACTCTTCCCAGGGGCTGGATGATTGGGCTGTCCATGGCTGTGAGCACTTGCATACCCATTGGAATCTACACACAAAGGGAGGTTTGCCACCATGGGTTCTACTCAGCAAGACTTGGTTGAGGCATTTGTAGTGATATATTATTTATGATTTATTAAAGCTTGACTGAGGATTCAGAAAAGCAAAGCCAGCCACAAACCATAGAATCCAGGTACACACATTTAATCCCAGCAGCCAGAAGCTAGGAGGTGGTGGTACATACATTTTAATCCTAGGACTCAGGATTGAGAGATAGATTTCTCTGAGTTCAAGGCCATCCAGATCTACACAAGAGTGAATCAGTCTAAAAGAGAATTATAAAAAAGTCTAAAAGCTCACACCTTTAATCCCAACATTAGAGAAGTATATCAGACAGAAGCAAGGTCTAAGAGAGGCATTCATTCTCCAGCCACACTGAGGAGAGACAGCAGTTTGAGGCTTGGCGAAGAGCTCGTGCATGTTCTTCCTGCACACTTGGTGTCCTCCAGTTCAAAGACACTCTCTCTGGAACATAACCCTCAACTCTGCTAGCATTGGTTACAACAGTGTCTTAGATTCATGGAATTTACTTGCATTTAGTCAAACACCTTGTCAGATCTCCACTGCCTATAAAGACGACTCAAATTCCTCAGCTCAGCACCTTGGGTCATCTCACCTGAATACACTCTTTTAGACCATATCACACCACCACCACCCATACTCATTACAATTTCCATTTTGCCCATACCCATGACCCCATATCTTAAGTACAGGAAATCAATCACAGAGAGGTATGAAAGGATGTTGGGACCAGACTACCTGGATGCCTCCACTTAGCTCAGCCAACCACTTTTCCAGCTGGTAATCTTGCAAGTGACTTCATCTGCAAAACAGGACACATCGAAGTACCAGAATCACCTCTGGGAGTTGAAGAGCACTGTGACTAGGAGCTGGCATCTAAGGAGTGCGTATAAGCTCTGAGTTCTAATTCTCTACACATCTGTCTTCCCCAGGACATTCTCCAGCTCCTGGAGAGTATTCTCCTCTGGTTGGTGGTGCCTATGACGTGACAGTTGCTGGACACTGGGGACAATGTAAAAAGAACTTGACAAATGAAAAGACTTTCTACTGATGATTCAAATGTAATGTGACAAATGCTACACTAGGGAAAGAGTCAAGTGCACAGAACACAGGGCCAGTCAGAACTAATGGTCCAGAACCAATTGGGACAGCTTTCCAGACCTGATACCTGGAAGACCCTTGCTGGACACTGGGGACAGTGTAAAAGAACTTGACAAATGGAAAGACTGCCAACCGATGATCAAGTGTAATAAAGCAGATGCTACACTGGGGAAAGAGTCAGTCAGGGCCTGTCAACATCCAGGACAAACTGAGGAAGCTGAGCATGAGCTGGAGCTCCTGATTGAGAGTCCAGCAGAATGTCCCCTTGGATGAAGCTTCCAAAGGAAAGAACCAATAGCAGCAGGACAGCTAACATCAGCAAATTTGGGACTCTAAACATCCAGTAGAGTGTGGAGAAGCTGACAGTTTCACTCCATGGCCCAACTTCAGGCTGCTTTCCCACTGCAGGCACTTTTATCCCATGGGATAATCAATAGTAACCTCTGATGGAAATGGTTCACCTTCTAGCTGTTTTCACTCTGGTGATTTTGCCCTCCCTGACAGAGTCAGAGGGACCAGGCCATCTTCAGACAAGAGACATTTTGAGACAAACATGCTTGGATTTTGAGATGGAGGTGGCAAACTTTTCAGTGAGCTCATATACTTGCCTGATAGTAGTAAATACATTTACCCATGAGCCATCTTCTAGCCCCATACATCTTATCAAAAGTAAACATTACAGTGCAATAAGTACTGATACTGTGTGAGGTGAAAGGGATATAGGTGGATGTGTGTAGATTCTATAAAAGTAGCATGCTCTTTATAATAAGAGAAAGTCCATGGATTTTGGCTTCATGGTGGGCAGGGTGTGTATGTTTGTGTGTGTGTGTGTGTGTGTGTGTGTGGTAGAACAAGGTCCTGGAAGTCATGCCTTTCAATACCAAAAGATAACCACATATGTAAGTACATGAACAGTGAATGTGTATTACCCCCTGCCCCAATACTTTTTTTAAACAAATGGAGGTCCGGTATATTCTGTTGTGTTTTTGCTGGAGAAGTTTCATTAACTCTAACACAATGCATTTTTTTTTACAGTTATGTAATATTCCAGCAAAATGTGTCTAGCCTTGTCTTTTACAATGTATGATCTTTGGTTACACATTCTTTGATATGCTTTACTGATTATTTAGGCTTAGTGGTACTTGCCTGTAGCCCCAGCTCCTGCGGAAACCGAGACAAGAGGTTTCTCAATCTTGTCCACTATTTTCTCTTTTTTTTAAAGAATCATATTCATAGAGCAGGTAAAGTAGATGGAGCTAGTTATCCCTACCTAGTTATCCCTCTCTAAGTGTGAGAACAAACAAATAGCAAAGATAAAAGTAAGCAGGGATGGAGATAAAGCCCAGCACTACAATGCTTACCTAGCAATTGCAAGGCCTCAGAACTAAAACAAATGATTGAAATTCTTAAAAAGACAAGTGGCATTATGGCAGACACTGCCAATACACATCCTTGCTAACAATGTCTCACTAGCCTTTTTGGTCTCTGTACTTCTGCCTGACTACTATCTTACTGGTTTTCAAAATCAACATTTCTTCCTGTAAAGTATCAATTGTTTTGATTACTACAGGTAATCAAATATTTGGATTTTGTGTGTGCACCTGTGTATGTGCATGTGGAGGCCAGAGTAGGACATCTGGCATCTTCTTCCTGCCCTCTGATTTTCTGCCTTTATAAAGGGTTTCTTCCTAAACTGGAAACTGACTCGTTGGCCGGGCAAACAACGAACAAGGCTAAGTGTCAGATGTCACGAATCAGGGCAATGCAAATCAAAACTACAATGAGATAATGTTACTCCAACTGGAAAGCTACACTCAAAACACAAGACAAAAATAACCAAAGCAACTAACAATGCACAGGCTGCAGACATTGATGTGTCAGCATGGGTAGGATGTACAGTCGTAAAATCGTGGGACATAAACAATGTGGAAGTCCCCAACTGAGAAGAGAATGGGCACATACTCCAGCAACCCCACTTACTGAGTAAACACCCAAGAGAAACCAGTAATATTTTGAGGAGATAGACATAAGAATTATCCCAATCTGCCCATTACATATTAGATACACATACCAAAACAACACAAGAGCCCACAAGAGAGTACATGTTAGGTAAATTAATTTTACTTTTGAAGCATGGCTTACCTTTCAGCCCAAGATGATCTTGAATTTACCATCTGCTGCTTTCATCATCCAGGATTCATCATGCTGAGATCATAGGTATCCACAATCTTGTCATAATGTTCATAGAGCAGGTAAAGTAGATGGGGCTAGTTATCCTTCTTTAAGTGTGTTTCTGGCATGGCCATGATGGCACATGACTCTAATGCCAGCACTGGGGAGGCCAAAGTAGGAGGTCTAGTTCAGGGCCACTCTGGGCTACACAGCAAGTTCAGGGCCAGCTTGGGATACACACAGACCCTGACACAGAAAGTTTTCCTCTTACACATTAATTACTATATGTAAATACTTCAGAGAAATAAAAATTAACTGGGCTAGTGTCTCCCCCAAATTTATGTCCATCTGGAACCCATGAATGTGGCCTTACTGGGATATAGGTCTTTGCAGGTATAAAGGTTTCATATTGGATTCCGACACAGAATGGATAGACATGCACACAGGGACAATGTCATATGAGGCAGTGACTGGAGTGACACAACAAGGGACATTCAGTACTGTGGTGACCAGCAGGAGCAGCAGGGAAGACATCTAGCGCCGCTGACACCTTGGATTTTGGTTTCTGGCCTCCGGAGCTAAGAGGACAACCTCCCTTGTTTTAGGCTATGAAACACGCAGTCATGTGTCATGGCCATCTCTGTGTGGTCTGAGCTAGCACAGACTTTCAGCTGTTGCCCAGCTGCTCCAGGTGACCTGTCAGAGAATGGACCTTTCTCAGGTTGCTCTGGAAAGCAAAGACTCAGAAAACCATTTTTGCAATTTTGGTTCCTTTTTATTTATCTCAGATATGCAATTTACATAGACAAAAACAAGAGGACAAATGCTTCTGTGTCACCCCGTGCTCACACTTTACCACACTTTGCTCCCACCACTTTCAACAACTTCAGAAGTGCTGCTGGGTTATACGGAAAGAGGTTTTTCTCCTGTAAGCGTTCAATAGCGTCCTGTAGCTCCTGGAGGCATTTCACTGTTCTAAGAAACAGCCCCACTTCCTGGACAGCCCCATTGGGAGCAACTTCCCCAGTAGCACAGTTGGGAGGATTGGACTGTAGGGGAAGCAGAAGCCTCTGCTGATGTTCCCTGCTACGGCTACGTTCTTTTCGATTCTGACTTGTTCTAGGCAGGCCTTGAGTTTCCCTGCTCATTTCTTGATGTGAAGATGTCTGTCTGTAGTTTGCTAAATGCTGATTTGTGGCTTCCTCATCAGAATCTTCAGAGCTCTCATAATCTACCAGACTCAGTGGGGTCTGGGAGGGTGGGCCATGAGCTGGCACTGTGTGAGCTTGCCTGGCCATCACCACCTGGCTCTGGGGTTCAGAGGAGGCATTGGAAGCCCAGGAGACCTGTGGGCAAGCATTTCTGTGGCCAACAGGAGAAGCCAGAGCATGCGGTACTGTGTGGCCAACAGGAGAAGCCAGAGCACGCTGTATTGTGTGGCTGGCTCTTGAGTCTTGGACAAGTGAGGGGGTGACAGCACCATGAGTATGTACTCCACATTGTAATTTGGCTGCATCAAAGAACTTGCAGATGGCCAGAAAGTGACCCCAGTCCCTCTGCAGTAACTTTAAGTATTTAACAAAATACTCAAAGAAACAGGTTTCGGAGGAAATCAAGAAGTCAAGAAGAACTGTAGAATCAAACACTATGTTCTTTAATAAGAATAAGAAAATACAGTGTGGATTACAGCCATTTCTATGTGTGTAGTGGATCCATGCTTCATTTTCTTGGGTCAGTCTTCCAGAAGTGTCATCCTGTCCTCTGAAAACACAGATAGGGAGAGCTCAGGATGGCGGGCTTTACAAACACTTTCTCCCACTCACTTGAAATATTACTTTAAAAGGAAATCAAAAGGAATCTGCTCACCACTAACTAGTTTTAGTTTTTGTCTGCACAAAAGTCTCTACCCTTTCTTCAATATCAGAAGCCCCTCTTCTTGAGGGTAACTTATTCCATGTTTAAGGTGAAGCTCAAGACAACCACATCAGGGGTAGACATGTGATCCCAACCTACCAGTCAGAACATGGCTTCATAATCCAAGCGAGTTAATCATATCTCCCCTGAGATATCTCTATGGCTAAGAAAAAGTACAGTGGTAAGATTGTAAAAAAGGAGGGAGGAAGCTGCTGGGTGGGATGGGCAGGCCTGAGAATCAATCAGGCTGTGAGATCATAAACAGGGAAATCATGGCTGGCATGATTTGAATACACACAAACACACAGAAAGACACACACACACACACCCTATATCTGATGCCAATTTGATGCCCTAAAAAACTCTCAACTGGCTAGGTGGTGGTGGTGCATGCCTTTAACCCCAGCACTCAGGAGACAGAGGCAGGTGGATCTCTGTGAGTTTGTGTCTAGCCTGGTCTACAGAGCGAGTTGCAGGGCAGCCAGGCTACACAGAGAAACCCTGTCTAGAAAAATAAACCAAAAACCAAAACCCCAAAAGCTCTCTAGCCAGGCCTCAAAAAATTCTATTTTTGCTTAAACCAGTTTGAACTGGTTTCTGTCATTTACAAACAAGAAAACCTTAATGGCATTTTTTTAGGTCCCCATGGCAGGAAACCTACCTCTGTGGACACAGTGAACTGAAGTGAAGGCAGACAGACTCATATAAAGCAGAGGAGACATAAGAAGGCTGTGCAGAGTGAAATCAACATATACCCTTGAATATTTACTCTAAACCTGTATTTCACTATTTTTGAGCCTAACTCAAATCACATGCAGGAATTCTGTTCTTTGAGCAGAACCTTTTGAAAACTGGCCCCAAACACTCATAGATGGAAAGCAGCCATTGCCAGCTGGGTCCTAATGCAGCAAGCACAAGGCTGCACCGCCAATCATTAGTGAGAAAGCCCTTCTCCCAGGACAAGGGAGAGGGAAATGGAGCAAGTACTTGAGGGTTTTAATGAAGCAGAGCAGAAATAATGGAGAGGGTCAAGGCTGTCAGCTTCAGAAGCAATTACAGACACTGCTGCAAGTATAAAGCAGCAACAGAATTGGGGCAGCAGTGTCCTAGCGGGCCTCCAGAGAGAGCGGCCCGAATAAGTGTATCTGGATGTGAGTTCAGAAAGGCTCTGCTGGTTATTTCCATTTGTATTTGCTTTGAAAAAGACAAAGGTTGCCATCTAGAAGCTTGAGGTTTTTAAAAAGATGGTTCTTAACCATCAGCTGTGGCTCAGGGAAGGCACTGGCTTACCTTGACCCCACAGGCAACACACTGGAACCCAGGGGTTCCGACCTCGCTGTACTATCCCTGATTGGCTCAGCCAGCCAGCTTCTCAGGATAATGCAAATAGCATCCATTTTCATGTAAGGCAGAGTTAAGACAGGAGAAAAGCACAAGATAGTTCTACCCCAGTAGAAAAGAAATGATGCACCAGGCAGAAACACATTTTCTGACACGTGTGTCTGCTGACTCTCTGGCTTGTTGTCAGTCTGAGCACTGGGAACACACAAACCTGGTCAGCTGGAGGTAGATGCTCAGGGACGCTTTGGCAGCCTCCACCATGTCATCGTCCTGCTCTATGAAGACCCTGAACAGCCATTCACATGGGTTGTATAATCGTAGAGGGCGCCGAAGGTGAGACTTCAAGAAGGTCAGTAACTCGGACATGAACTTCTGCAAGTCAGCTTCAAACAAGAGAAATTTCAGAGTGCAGGTAATGTTTATGAACACAAATAATATCTTGTCTGTATGCAACTTTCTAAGTTCATTATCGTAATCTACACTCTCAGATCCTACAGTCAGGGATTAGCTGTTTCACAAATGAAGAACTGAGGATTGTAAAGGTGACTAATGGAGGGGCACTCATTTAAAGCATAGAGTCTGGGTGTCCATCTGCCAAAAGACTAGTCACAGTCTGTCAGTCTGTCTAAGAAATAAATATGTGATTTCACGATGAGAGCATGTCAATTGAGTACACAACAACTATTTCTTCATTGGCGACCACGGCTTTCTGTTAACTAACAACTGCTAAGCCATAAAAAGAAATTGCTTCAAAACAACACAAAAATCTTCCTTTTGCTTGTTAAAGACCTAAAAGAAAGTGCTGCAAAAACCCAAAGTCTGGGAGCTTAACTGCAACTCAAACCTCTGAACTGTGTAACTGATGCCACCTAGTGTTTGAAACTGTAATTGCGCTAATGAGGACATTAAAAATGATGTTGCGGAGCTGCACTCCCCATGGAGCCACAGGCTGCTTGCTGCAGACAGCCACTGTTGGCTCCCTCCTAGTGAAAGGAAGACATACCTCTACAGCACCCACACTGACATCACTCTTTCAGGCACTCTGACCCTGCACTTGTCACCTTCAAGTTATGTGCAACAATTCCTTTATCAACAGAACTTCTGGTACTAGTTTCAATAAAACTTCTAATTATCAGAAATGAATGGAGGTAGTCATATTGCTTTTGTGAATAATGTAATTAGATATGAACTGACCTCTATTTGCTTGGGTAGTGACTCAAAGCAACTATTTTTGTATTCATTATTCTATGCATTAATTGTACAAGAATACAATTTAAGAAGCAGAAAAGCTTCTTAAAATTCCAGTCCCTCATGGCCTCCTCCCTCCCTTTGAAAAAGTATTTACTAAGTTTAATCAGAAAACTATAACTAGATTAATGAAATGGCACTAGCCTTACTACTCACTCATCAGGAGTCACTTTTCTTAAGTGAGCAATGAATTGCATAGTGCTTTGAATAACAAATGAGTCTGGAGAATCACCTCTCATTTCGGCGGCTGACGTACAGTTCTGGAACTTGATTTCTAAGGATTTCACTGTAATCAAGCTTGCTGCTCTCAGGGTGACGTAATCAGGGCCAATCCTTGGTTGGCATCCAGGTTGAACTTCATCCCCTCCAAAGCGGGAAGGCTTTCCAGACACAGACAAGTCCTTCCACAACCCCAGGCGCACGGCATGCAGAAGTGCATCAGCCAAGGCCAGCACGTCACCGTCCAGAAAATGGTCAGGTGACATCAGGGCAGGCACAGATCCACGGCAGAGGTCTTCCCCCATTTTACCTAGAAGGCACTTTTTGATGACTATAACCAATTTCCTTTTAACAAAAGCTGGAATAGGCCAGGCAAGAATATCTAGAGCACAGGGTTTCAAAAATAGCATCCTTTGGCTCTTAAAGTGTAGTTTCAGGTGGATTCTGGAGGCTGTGAGAAGTTCAAGCAGCTCCAGGAAGCACACCAGGCTGTTGACTACGTTAGAGGGATTCTGGAAGTTTCCAAAATGCTGAGAAAATAAGGAATTGTAGAATACTTCAAAAGTAATGTCAAAAGGAGCCAAGAGCTGCTTTAGCATTTCTGTAATTATAAAAATAGTAGTTATAAGAAACAGGAAAATAAAAGCTTTCTTAAAACAAATCTTTACAATTCAGTTTGTATATACATTACTTTGTAAGATAAAAAATAGGTTTAAGAACAGTTACTTTTAATAAAACCAAATGAGGATACACAGATTAAAAAAAAGCTAATTACTAAAAGTTAACATTTGCTTTATAAATATGGACAATATCAGACTACCCAACAGATATTTAATGATTACATTTCTTTCTAAAAGGGTAATCGTCAGTGCTGGGGAGGTGGCTCATTTGGTAATGTGCTGGCTGCTGAAGCATAAGGTCCTTAGGACCCCCAGCACCCATGTAGAAGCCAGACAAGGTGGCACACATCTGTAACCCTGAGCTGCGGAGATGGGGATGGAGCTCACTGGCCAGCCAGCCTAGCCCAGTTGTTGAGCTCTAGGTTCAGTGAGGGCTCTTATCTCACCAAATAAGGTGGAAAGTAGTTGAGGAAGATGCCCAGCATTGACTTCTGGCCTCTACATGCATATGTGTGGGTGTGTACACACATACACACACATCCCCACACATTCAATATGTACACCACACACGCCAAGGCTATGTCTGATTAAAAAAAAAAAAATCAGGGAGAGATTCTTGCATTTTTCCATACTTCAAGAGAGATGAGGAATAACATACATTTTATTCACACTATAAACACAATGCTCCTAGAGAGGTGATGATCATTTGTGGACAGTATGATCTCTACCTGCTTGCTGGCAATGTGTATCTTTAAAGATTTCTTTTATTACAACTGTAAGAATCCAGAGGCAATGCACTGCTTCTCTACTCTCAGGGGATTCAGAGAGATGCTTTTGGCAAAAAGTGATCCAGGGATTACTCAATGCCATCTACAAATGAGAAAACAAAAGGGTAGTTACAATTATTTTGTTTATAATTAAAAATTACTTATCACACAACACAATGCCACAAAATGTTGTCTACTTGTTTTCATGAAAAAAAAGTATGGTAATATTTGACAAAATAAGGAACAAAAATATTCTACTATTCTTTAAGGCAGGAAAGTCAACACACCATAGAAGTGAAGGATCAAAAAGAACCATGAAAACATCCACATTATTTACAAATGGTAATGTGTAAGTGTTTCTTTTAATTCTCTACTCTATTTTCCAAATATTTTACCATAAATGACTTTCATATTCAAAGTGTTGTTTTCAATACAAGCAATAATTGGAGCACAAAGTCAACAGATGTTGGGTATGTGTATGTTTGCAAGCCCCTGTGTAATACATGTGTGTGCCAGTGTACCAGGTACCAGAGGCCGAAGCCAGGTATCCTGCTCACTCACTTCCCTCCTCGTTTTTTTGAGGTAGGGTCTTATTTTATTCTCCTGGTTTTGGATTTGCACATTATCATGGGTGCAGATATATTATTAATTCAACTATCTATAGGAGGAAAGTCAATGCCAATGAGCAACTTTAGAACTGTAAGAGAAATGACTCTGTTCTGATTTACCCTACCTTCGCTCTCAGCTGGAAATAGAGGAGCGATGAGAGGCACTTGGCAGCCAAGTGAGACATCAACTTGTCGGAATTCTGGAGCATCCAGATCTGTGGCAAAACAGACAGCTCATCACACCGCTGAAGCCTTCAAACCTGGACTCAGTACCTAAATTATTTAAAAAATGGCTTACCAGTTTGGAATCGACTTCAGCGGACTGCAAAAGGCCTTCAGTCAGCTTTCTGTACCCCTCCTTTGCGAGGGCCTCAGTTTCAGCAGACAGCACTCGGCTCAGCATCACATCCATCACTGTTAACTGAAGGAGCTTCACCTCCCGGGCCCTGCTCATCTCAAAGGGACTCTTTGCACCTGGCACCCCACCAAGTGTGCCACTGACATTGGACCTAGTTAAAGAGGGGGTTGTACAGTCAGCTTGTTCTGAGAGGTTTGGGTTGAGATAAAAGATGTAACCATGGACGTCATCTTCAAGGGTGCCTCCAAGAAGTACTTTCTTGTATAACTGGTCCAAAATTTCTTCGACACCTTCCATTTTGATTTCTAAAATGTATCTGGTAAGAGGGTCAACTGCCCCAAGGTGTAAATACTGAAGGCTTAGAAATACAAAGACTCTCTAAGACGTTCCCTCAGTGAAGCCTGAAACAGAAAACGTAATTTAAAATTGAGTGTTAAAGCTTTTACAAGTGAAAGAAAACTGTGTTCACTTAGTAAGCCTCAAGTTAGAGATAATGTTAGATACGGGACTCTTATACAAATCATAATAATATTTTAAATGAAATGTATGTTTTATATTCAAATATAAGAGCATAAAACTATTTGTAGTGTTGTTTTGCTTTTGCTTGGTGTGTGTGTGTGTGAGTGTGTGTGTGGTGTGTGTGTGTGTGTGTGTGTGTGTGTGTGTGTGTGTGTGTGTGTGTGTACAAATAGTTTTATACTAAGTGAACACCTGCTGCCTTGCTGGGGGAATACCTGAAGATCATCGTGAAGGGCACTGTCTATCCTCTGCCATCATTAGCTTCTTGTGTCCATGTCAGTCATCCAGGAATCCCTTCATCAACTCACCTGTGGTGGGCTCTGGAGGGCAGAACAGAAAAACAAGTCAATTGTGATGCAGAAGAGAAGAGCTAGGCAGATGCTGGCTGATTTTAATGTGGAAGACAATTCTGGGGAATCCCATGAAGGTCTCAAAGAGGCTCGAGCTGCATATTTAAAAACCAAGGTTGCAAGCTGACCAGAAAATGGGATTATCCCTGAGCAAGAAGCTTCAGGAAACATTGGAGAAGCCCCTGCCTGGAAGACAACAGTGAGCACCAACGCCTCTTTCCTGGTAAGCAGGGTTATCACCCATTGCTATTTTACCTGAACTCTTATCTCAGCCACTGAGAGTGTTCATTAAACAGATTAAAAACTTTGGCTTTGGGAAGACTCTCCCAACTGCATATAGGTCAGTAATTACAGGAAAATGTCATCCAAAGTGAGGTAGTGTTCCCAAAAAAGCGGAGCCCTATATAACCCAGTGCTGTCATTTTTAAGTGTCCTCTCCACTCAGCTACCGTCGGCAAGTGACTAATCTCTTACCACAACAGGAAACAAACAAAACCATGAGTGAACAACAAAAATAACTATAAAGAATGCCACTCTCAGAATAGCTGCACTAACACTCAGAGCCACCAAAATGCTGGCAAAGATGTACAGAAACTAGATCCCACTGTAAATTAATCTGGCAGTTCCTTAAAAAGTTGCACATCTAGTCACCAGATGACCCAGCAACTGTGACGCTGGCATTCATGCCAGAGAAATAACACCATCCACAAAACCTGGTACAAGATGTCCTCTACTGGGTGTTCGGTTAAACAAAGGTGCACAGCCACAGTATAAAATACTTTTCATCATCAACAACAAACAACCCCATTGGCCCTCAAAGGGATTATGCCAAGAGGAAAAAAGGCAATCTCAGTGGCTGCACATTATTTCTGTTCCCGAAGAGCAAATGGGTGACGAAATACAGATGGAAGTCAGCTGCTAGCTGAGGGCTCCACCTCCTTACTTAGTAGGCGGGGCTATGAAGAATAACAGGAGTGCCAGTGCTAACAGATGGACAAGGGACAGATTAACTTATATATGACAAAATCACACAAAACTAAGCACAAGCACAAATAAATGCATATAGGTGAAGAGGGAAATCTGAAGGAGGCTGGTGGGCGGTGTCAAGATCCTGGGCTGTGTTGAGCTAGATGCTGGGGGAAATCAGGAAAAGGTATTCCCCTGTATTCCTCTAACTGCTTGTGATTCTACAATGGCCTTAGAGTAAAAGAAGTGCATTAAAAGAAACCCCAGTAATTTTATCCAGGTAAGACAGCGCACCCCTCTAATCCCAGCTACTCAGGAGGCTGAGGCAGAAAGATGTTGCAGAAGGGAAGGGAAGATTGGAGACAGAGCTCAGTGGTAGAATGCTTGCTAGGTATCAACCTCCAGAACCACAAAACCAAACAAACAAGAGACCCCCTTCACACATACACACACACCGTTTACATCCATTAAATGTTATTTAAAACATACCAGCTTTTTTTCTGAGGGAGTAATAACTCACTTTGTAGTCTAGGATGTCCTTGAATTTATGGTTTTCTACTCTAAACCTCCTGAATGCTTATAAGCTTATGTCACCAAGCCTAATTTACACTAAAATTCTGATTCTTAAAGCCTCTACACCAAACCAGAACAGAGTGGTATCTGAAAGTACATTTAAAATGTTTTCTTAAAATATTTCTAGACACTAGCCCGGACATAGTGGTGCATGCTTTTAATCCTAGCATCTGGGAGGCAGAAGCAGGGCAGTCTCTGTGAGTTCAAGGCTAGCCTGGTCTGTCTACATAGTAAGTTTCAGATCAGCCAGAGCTACATAGTAAGACCCTACCTCAATAATAAATAAATAAACAAATCTAGAAGCTGAGTGTAGTGGTTCACGTTTGTAATCCCCACACTTGGGGGTTTGTAGAACACATAGACATAGGAGGGAGAGGACTTCAGGAACATCGCTGAGTGACAGTATGATGGCTCAGCTAGTCAAGGCACTTGCCATAAGCCCAGTGGCCAGAGTCTGACCCCTGGAGCCCACCTGGTGGAAAAGAGCAATTCTCACAAGTTTTCTCCGATCTCCACATGTGCTGTGCACACATAATCAAATGAACATCAGAGATTAAGTCGTCCAAGGTCAAACAGATCCTGTCTCTAAATAAAATACTTTAATAGTAGGATACAGACAGAACTTGAAGCCTTCGTTAGAAAATGTAGTTTCTCATCACTTAATTTCAGAATTACCAAAATTGCCCCTATTTCTATTTCTATGGCCAATATTATTAAAAGTAAAACATTGACTTTCTTTTGACAAATTTACTAGAGTTTGCCAAGAGATTCAGGATTAAGCCTCAGCTTAAGTCAACAATGGCTCAACTTTAATCGCAGCCCAAGTAGCTACATAGTTCAGATGCTGTCTATGACACTTAACACAGAAGCTGAAGCACTCCAAACAAAGGCTGTCTTCCAGGATTCCCATTCTGTCCCCACTGAGACATCATAAACTGTGGGGAACAAGTGGGGTGAGTGGCACATAGGAATGACTATCAAAATTATGCAGGCCCAGCCAAGTAAACATCAATCAGAACTGTCCTCATTTGCATATCACACTTCCACCATCTAGAGGCAGAGTTTTCAGTCCTTGCCCAGCCCACTGCTCCCTTGAAGTATTTGTAAGGTTATCTTTTCTACTCTGACATGGATTGGTGAATTCTTTTTACCATAGATGAATCTGACCCACATGACATTTGTCTGCCTGGACTCTGGGGTACATCAACTACCTGCTTCCATTTCTCATGACCCTCACTCGGTGAACTGCATTAAGAGCTTGGAGACAACTGACAGCCTCTCCTTGGGTCAACTCCCCAGGAGGACCAGGTTTGCATGCTCCAGGACATGGTCACCTCTGTCCTTGGGGGTGAGGGACTAGAGTTCCTCTGGGAGTTTTCCCTCTGCCTCAGGACCCTTGAACAATTCCATGGAAGAATGAGGACAGCTTGATTCCTGGCTGGGACCAATCCCTGTGGAACAAAGGCCTCCCTTCTCTCACATTCAGTGGCAAGGTACCAGAGCTGTCTTACACCTTTCAACAGAAGGCCTTCCCTCCCATGGTAGCTGACAGTCCCCAACTGAGGACTACTCTGGTGGGATCTGAAGGTTGGGACAGAGTGGCCACCTGCTGAGTCTGTAAGGAAGAAAGAACTGTTTCCTGCCTCTCCTCACCCCATCTCAGTGCTCAATGCAGCAGGCCATGGCAGCTCTCTGGGGTGGATCTGTATACACTGTGGTAAACACTTGAGCCCTATAGTTTCTTTCGTTCCTTTCTGACTGTCCCTCTGAGAATTTCTCCATTTATCTGAGGATGCTCTGTGACATCAGACTGCAGAACCTGGACCGTATACCTAGTATCTCCGACCTTTTAACCACTGGTTCCAGTGCCAAGATGTCCTTTTAGTAAGTTAAATGCCCTCTCTGACATCTACACCTTAGGTCCCTTGTGGACATCTTCTCAGGAAGTCCTTTAGGAAGGCAAGCTATCCCTTTTTGAAAATGCACTGTTGAGTCTGTAAGAAAGAAAGAACAGTTTCCTGCCTCTCTTCACCCCATCTCAGTGCTCAGTGCAGCAGGCCATGGTAGTATTTTCTACCTAGGGCCCTTTTCCCTTGGAAGGGTATCTGTTAGGGTGGGGAACTGACCTCCCCAATCATGAGACAGTCACCTCCTTTCCCCTCAGACTCACCCTCGGGGGTGGGGGTGAGGAACATTTGAAAACATCAGTACTAGTCTCCAGTTTGCTCTGCTCTCTTACAAACTTTGGAAGTGACTTCATGTTCACCACAGACATGCTAATTCCTGTCCCCTTTCTCCAGCTCCAAATCTGTGATAAACCCGTTGTGGGTGGTCTGGCCAGGTTCTTGGGACAGGGTTGTTCCATCTCATTCTACTGATCACACTACCCACACCCACCTTCTCAATAGCTCTCCCCCATATCCTGAGGCCCTGACACTCTCTTCCTCTCACACATCTATTTGGGGAATACCTTTAGGGAACAAATAGCTCCCACTGAACAGAACAGGCCCAATATCCCTTCTATGAGGTGGCCAACAGAGAACTGGAAATCATCAGAGTCCATGTGTCCTTTCCCGTGCCCAACTCTACCCACATAGAAACTGAACAGTTCTTTTAATCCAAGACCCCCCCTCCACTTCATTAAAGAATTTCATGTAGTATAAAAACTGTCTCCTTGTCTTGGTTAGGGTTTCTATTGCTATGAAAAGACACCATGACCACAGCAACTCTTATAAGGGAAAAACTTAATTGGGGTGGCTCACTTATACTTTCAGAGGTTCAGGCCATTATCATCACGGCAGGGAGCATGGTGGAATGCATGCAGGCAGACATGGTGCTGGCTACATCTTGATCAGAAGGCAACAGGAAGTGGCTGTGACACTGAGCTAAGCTTAATCAAGAGAGACCTCAAAGCCTGCCCCCACAGTGACAAATTTTCTTCAACAAGGGCACATCTACTTCAACAAGGCCACATCTCCCAATAGTGCCAATCCCTATGAGCTTATAGGGGCCAACCACATTCAAACTATCACACTCCTTCAGCAAATCCTACCGGTCTGCACCACCAGAACTGGCTCTATCACACTCCTATACATGAGGAATTTGGTTACTGACCAAGAAATGGGTCAATGAGGCTCATGCTTGTAACTCTTCTGCACTGCTTAGATTTTTCTGTCAACACAGGCTAGAGTCAGCTGGGAAAATGCCTCTATAAAGATGGTCTGTAGGCAAGTCTATAGGGCACTATGTGGATTAATGATTGATGTGGGAGGGCCCAGCCCAGGGTGGGTAACACCATCCTGGGAAGAAAGCAGTTTAGCTGCCCATGGAAACCAAGCCAGGGAGCGCATTTCTCTGTGGCCTCTGCTTCAGTTCCTACCTCCAGGCTCCTGTCCTGACTTCTGTTCCTGATACAATACCAGGTTCAAAGT